GAGGTTCAATTATCGCTTCGTTTGCGCGTAAGATTCTCGTACAAGAATGCAGATAATCACCTTCGTTAGCGGGATTAAGGATTACCGCTACCGCGTCGTATCCTAAGGCAGCAGCTTCATCCTCGCCGTCTCCGTCTACCACCGCGTTTTTCCCTCCGTTATCTTTATTAACGAAAATTACACATTTTTGCTCCTACTCGTTGCGAGCTTGCAATGAACACGTGTCGTTCTTCAAACGGATCCCGCTGACACATCCTCCCCTATACGGAAACCTCTCGCTTCGCAGATTATATGGACGACGGTTTTGATTAGGAGCGTTATCTTTTAATAATTTATCCTCGCGATTCTCCGCGTCACGCCCCATCCTATTCAACGTGTTTCTCTTCAGTGCGTAACATTTCTTTCATTAGATTTGTATTCGCGTTTGTTACCAGCGTAGCTGCACGATGAAACAATTACTCTCTGATAATTTCGTCAGGTCTGCGGTATCGTTTTAATCATCGATATTACAAATACGTCATAGGTGTGCGGCGATTAATCAAGAGTTTCACTTTTAACGCTCGCATTTCTCGCTTCGTGTGCGCGTAAGAATGCAATCCTGGTAACCAAAGTAGAAAGAAAATGTATTACCGGGAACCAAGCACGCTGAAATAATTACTAGAAGCTCAGTAATTGGATCATTGGAAATTACTGATTGTACAGTAACTTTCTAGTAATTATTTCAATGCTTTGTTGGCCCCTGATATTACATTTCTATAAGGGAAAAAATTTTATAACACTACTTCTTTCGAAAGTATCATTTCTCTGCTTGAAGCTACGACCATGGACGATCCGAAAGTAATAGGAACGTGTGTAGTGTGTGCTTTTCATTAGGAATATTTGATCGTTTCTTCTAAAGGTAACAGGGATTCGCGATATTCACCTCGTAATGACGAGACCACGACCGTAAATTGCGTCGTGTGTAAGAGAAATTCGTAGGGAGAGAGGACGAAGGAAAGAGAGAGAAAGGGATGGAAGGGAGAGAGGCTCTGGGTGTCGATGAAAGGCAAGCTGGAACCGTTGCTGCGAAACAGCAATCGCATGGTACGCAACCCTGTCCGGGGACGGGCGGGGACGGGAGGCGGGTAGTATTATACGCTGAAAACGCAGTTTGTCTTATCATCCGCCATCTAGCAATGGCGAGGAGCATTGCTTTACGACTAATGGACTTGCACCGGTAAATCACCGGATACAATGCGCGCCGGTCCCGCTCGCGATTTACGAGGGTCCAGTTGCGCGCGGCCGAGTTCCGCACGGTATAAAAGATCAGAAAGTTAAAGGCGAAGAGAGCCGCGACGCTGGAAGACGGACCGGGGAGGGTAGGGAAGATCCCGAAGACGCTCGTCCTGCCGCATCGCGCCGCACGGTATCGATCCGCAGGATCTCCCTCTCCTTCCCCTCCTCTCTCTCTCTCTCTCTTTCTTCACGGTCATAAATACGGCATCGTAAATCACGCAAAACTTAAACGGCATTCGGCAAGGTATTTTCTTAACACCTCGTCAAGAAGGACGCCTCCGCGCCGACAATGAGTATCTCGTCCATTGATAAATTTACGAGGCGGCGCACGGTGACATTGTGACCGTGTAATTTGGGCTATCCCGATTTAACGGCCCGGTCAACATGACGTCCCTTTAACGACACAAGAAGATAATAATCTAAAACGCCTCCTGCAGATATAACGCGTATATATACCGTTCCGATATCATTACGGGTTAGAATCGAGATAGAGCGGCGTAAGGGAGGATAAACCGGGGAATTTTTACGATATCGGACGGAAGCAGACGAATTTCGACCCTTACTACGCGCCATTCAACACTCGATACGTTTGTTCCGAGCCATAAGAGATGAAGAAGAATACGTAGTACGTGAGTGTGGCATTAAGGCTACGCGATATTGCTTAAATTTCAATTACTGTTTACCGAGCGCCCATCGACTTGCACGGTATCGGCGTACCGTTGTGATTATGCTTGAATGTGAGTAACAGATAGGGGGTCCTTCGACCCAGGCGCGATCACATCTTAAAAAGCACTTTCGATGTTTTAGAGCGAAAAGCACTTAGGAGACGCCTCGGGTATGGCGTAATGGTAATAATAATGTTATCGAGCTTTCATCCGAGCGAGAAATAAATGTTTAGCGAGGTACGGTTA